AATGTTATTTCAAAGATCTTTATACATTTTATATATAAACACGACGTTGTTCTGATTGAACATCTATGTTTTTAAGCTTTTTGGTGATTTTTTATGATGAAAACTTCTCGGCATTCCATGGATTCACCATGCGTGTGCTGGGTCCATCACGTTGCATCGAGAGGAGCTTCAAAAATTTCTGCGACTTGCGACCCAGGTGTAGGTTTAAGGAGCCCCTATTTAACGCGCGTTAAACCCTCACCTCCACCGTCCAAGCTCCTCTCTCTTCCTAACCAAATTTAAATGAACCTACTAGGATCCTTGTATAGTTTATAAATGAAAACGTACATATACTCGTACATCGGACTATTTGCTTCTACTTTTCCTCCGTGAAAACTTGAGATAAACTAATAAAAGTACAACTCATTTCAGTACGTAAAAAGTGCTTAAAACATAGACTACCTCTTCTATAAATGTATATAATATGTATGTCTGAATGCTTGTTTTCGTATATCACATACATAGCTAGTGTATTAAAAAAGTAAAAACAGATAAAAACAGAAATTAAACGAGAAATAATCTATAATCACTTATCTTGAATGCAATAACAATAAATATAGTTTATTTAACATATATATTAATAATTGCATCAACTGAATATTTTTTATATTATATGATAACTAGATAATCTTCTGTATAATGTCCACTTAAGCGGATATGTTTTCGAAATCAATGTCAAGATAGAGAGGTATCGGTAACTGTGCATTACTCATTCTTTTTGTAATACACAAGAGAAATTCTCATTATTATAAGATTTAAATAAATTTACTACATAAATTTAACGTTTTGTATAATCTTATGCTCTTATGCTCTATAAAGGCAAAGTATAAAGTAAAAAGTATCTTTTGAAAAATGGAATTTAAAAAAGATTTTATGATAAAGAAATTGTATTTTTATTGTAGAAAAGCTAGAAGTGTTTCAGGAAGATGTAGTTTGTGTCTAATATTAAATTATAAAAAAAATATTTTATAATGACATTAGTATAAAATAAGAAAGAAAAGACAAATAAATTGTCTGGATTAGGTTTACAAATGTACATATCTAAAGATAACGTTTGGGTACAAAGAAGTAAATGTACATAAATGTATACAAGAGTCACTATTAAGAATCTTTTTATACACATTTTGCTCTTATACTATAAATTTACTATATCCAGTTACATATTTTCTTTCCGATGATAATAATAGGTACAATAGAAATATATATATTATTTTTTAACAAACAACCTTTCAATGTTAATTGCCGTCAATTATCTCAAGATTGATGCAATGTCTTATCCAATAACCTTCAATAAAATAATTGATGTGTTCGATACAATCGCTATGAATCGTGTAACTTATCAGAATTGTCTCAAATCTATGAATTCGTGGTGTGTATTTTATCATGGACAATTATATATTATGAATTGAGACTAAGTAATAATAAAGTGACGGGTTTCAAGGGACAATTAGGTCAAAGCGTCAATTACTTACGTATGCGGTATGAATGTATCTGTTACGACGATATAGGATTACTTCATATAAATATATTTAATTATTTATATGAACTTTATAAGTATAGCAGAAAAGAAGAATTTCTTTCAAATGTCCTAAATATTTATTGTTTTAGAACAAAATCCATTATTCCACATAATATTTTTTTCGTCCCTCTCATGTGTAATGTTAAATTTGTCGTGTACATCGGCTTACACAGCACATTTTTATTAATAGCCAACAATTGGTGACTTCCGTAAAAGGAAAAGGGATGTGATACACATTACAATTAATCTGAATGATTTTGAGATTTACTTTTCAAATAACGATAGCTTCACCCACAAATGTTTTTATAATCATTTCATAATCAATTTATCTTTTCTAATAATTGCCTAACATTTGATTGTTAATACACATCAAAGATTATATTTAAAATAATATAGTATTAATTTGTAATAAAATATTAACAATATAAATGTAATTTCTGACCTCCCGTCCATAATTTGACAGGAATATTAAAACAATAGTTTTATAGTAACTTTACACTGTATGCGTCATGGAACTTTTAAAGATTTTATTGTAACAATATTTTTTATAGTTTTTATATATAATATATTAACGCAAAAAATATTCTTAATCTATAAAAAATAAGTTACGTAATCATAATTTGGTCAAGTCAAAGCTATCTGACACTGATTAAAAAAATAATTTTATTGGTCATTAAGACTCAATTGATATAAGATAATTTATAAAACAATTTTATTAATATCTGATACATATGTACTTGGTGATAATTGTTAAGTAAATACTTTCCTTGCTATGATTTCAACGTATGTAAATTTTATATAGCTAGGTACATCGTTAAGTTTCAATTAATATTTTTTATCATATAAATAAAACTAATATTTTCATATGTACCGTACCTACTACGATGAATGCATTTTGATGATAGATGATTTTTTCATCTAGTCTGCTACGAGTATAATCACGGTTGCTGCAAAATTACCGAAACGTCGGAAGTATATACTTAAAATAATAAAGAATGGTTTTTTTTAATATATACTCTCGAATTTCTTAGATATTATTTTGTCGGCATCTGAGAACGATATTGTTTGTTTTATTCAATTACTTATTTTTCTGACTAAGTACTCGTATCTATATAATATATATAATTTTTCATTATATAGTATCTATATAATTTTTCATTCTTCTAAAGCGTATATCAAGTATTATCTATAACTCCTAACTATTTAAAAGATTCACTTTCTTAGAATTTATATAGTTTTAAAACAGCCGCGCTATATAATATATTATTGATATTCATGATTTCATTTGAAGTATCTGATTAAGCCATGTTTAATTCATATATTTTTTACATACCAAAATATAGAAACAAAATAACAAACACTTAATACCGTCACAGGCGTCAAACACGTTTTATGGATAATATTTCTAAATGTCATTTGCAAAAAAAATAATTAATAAAGTAGGTTTTGTATTTCTATTTTGACTATTTTTACAAAACACATTCAAATAACCTACTCTTCGAAGTCGTTTTTTTATATATGTATATATACATTTCCAGCTAAAATAATATTTCTTTTATAAAAACTCGAATGCTAATATTATATGATAATTAATTATATGTGTTATTTTTTTACTTTTTTAATATAAAATTATTTGATATTATATATTATTCTAGAAAACAGATCCGCCAAATTTTTTCAACCAGTAAAATAATTTTGAATTTTAATGAGTCTCGTTAGCAAATTAAATGTATCTCTTTAATAAGCCGTAATAATTAAAAAAAGAAACGGAAAAAAAAACGGCAATGAGACGTCATTAAAAGTATTATATTATATCAAACGACTCGTAATTGATAAATATTTAATCGGCTTAGAAACAATCGGTTCCATCGGTTATTAAAGTCCACGACGTTTCATAATAAGACGTCGATTACGCCATAAAAACCCCTGACGTTAAGACTTTTTGTTATCATACAACGAGGTTGTTCAAAGAAAATTGTGACCGGTTATCCAAAAATTACCAAAATTAAATTCGCTAAAACCAGTTACTGTAACTTCTTCCATACTTATGTTATAAGCACTACGAGTTATGTGATTGCACTTTTTACAGTTAACTAGAATTATACATATATAGAGCATACGTAATTTGAACTTGAGTTCTTAGTAATTTTTTTCTTAATACTACATCATTATCAGCTGTATTTTTACTATACTAATAAATAATTCAGTTTGACTGTATATGAAAAACTACTACCAAAACAGTAGCTTTCTTCTTTCGTATATAAAAATTAATTATTTCCTAGTTATAAATAACAATTATAAATCTTAATTAATAGATTATTTTTTGTATTTACACCTCGATACACACAAAAACATGATCATTAAGTAACAATGTCTTTATAACAAGACATTATTCTAATCAAGATGTTAATTTCCCATTAATATTTATCATCTGTTCCATACAATAAAGCCGTTGTTAATAAATAAAACATTAAATTGTTATTTTCCAGACAATGATATTATCTTAATAATAACATTAATTTTAAACTATAGTAGATCTATAATTACAACACATCAATATATTAACCTTTACTCGTCTTACAACGTAATTACTTTTATATGTACGTTTTAAAATATAGTATTCTAATATTTTTCCATTATTACCCATTAACACATGATAAATGACCCAAAAACTAAAATTATCTGGTTTAATATACCCATATAATACTATATATTTAAGGATAAGTAGAAAGCAAAATTTTATTAGTATTGGCAATATATATTAAACTTTCCTTTATTGGTCGTTATAAGAATTATTACCATTAATTGGCATTTTCTTCAATTAATATTTGAGGTAAACGATTTGCATTTATGAATGTATTTTTTATCCAATTGTCATCAGTTTATTACGTCATGATGTCTAAAATTCTTCATAAACAATTTAAAATATAAACAAAAATAATCCAAAACTACGTCGGTGGCATAAAAAATATGTACTATGCAATTTCAACATCGGCTTCTAATGCTATCTACTTCTAAAATAGTGTTTCAATGGTCTAATTATTACTTAAGGGCATGATGATACTTTTACGGTTAATATCAATAAATGGATATATAAACCAATTTATCTTTCTTTGAACAAAGGAGAATCTGAAAGTATTATCACTTAGTTCACGATAAAATGAAACAAAGTGCGTTATAAATTGTAACATAAACAAAGACGACACAATCGATCTTGCGGACAGTGGGTTACATTTAAAGATTAATTAAAATCTTTAACGATTTTTAAATACGTTATTCAAACAAACGTGTTTATATTAACATTCAAAATATCTATATATAAATTGTATCTCTAATTCCATAAGCAAATATTCATAACAAAGAATTTAATTGCTCTAGCAGTACATTTATGCATACGAAATGATAAATGCTTTGTATAACAGATATTGTTTAGAAAACATACCTTTGTTTATACCGAGATTGACAGTACATGTAATATTTGTAAACTGCATGTCGACGGGTTCCTTGGTCGGAAGCTTTGCCAGTCCCGGGGCTTTGTCCTGAGAAGAACCCGGGGCAACAACCTCAGCATTCCCGGTATCAGCTTTATAACTCACACTATCCACAATCTCAGCTCCTGCGAGCATCATTTTGATTTTTTTATATGTTCATTAATATATTTCAACTACACACGTGCTTCGACCGATACTAGTCGTGTATGAATGCGCCCGCGCCGATTCGGAAGCATATCGCTATCAGAAGCCTTTTGTCTCAACTGACAGCTAACTCTTGTTTACATCTTTCTGACGCACTTCAAATAATACTTACTCTTCAATAATATGACGTTTAAATTTGTAAATACATTTAAATGAACTCATTAGAGAATATTATAAAACCATTGTGTTTTAAAAACTAGCGAACCTTCATTAAAACAAAGAAACAAATATTTAATACGAAAAACTGTTTTAGATTTTTTCGATTAGCTTCATTCATCATCATTTAAATCAACGGTACTATGGAAAATAAAGAAAGTACATGAATTATAATATACATATGTAATAATATATAGTTGTATATTGTAAGGTTATATAAATGAAATATAAAACCTAGAGGAATGCTTCACATTTGAAGATTTTTAATGAAAAATCACAACCAATTATAAAATCGTATTTTTATTAATAGTTAAAAAGTGTATACGAAGCTTAAAGATCAGGATACCTTGAGAAGACACTTAAAGTTTTCAGAAGATAAAAGATCGAATAAATTAATACATCATTGTTGAGAGCCTCAAATCGTAGTTTCATGTAAGTTCTTATAAATTCGGCTTAGTTGCGTCAGTAAAGCCTATAAAAATTTAGGTTTGATTAATTTTTATATTGATAACGAAAATAATCCTAACATTTGATGATATTAATTTTATTTAAGTTATGTTCTACTTTTCAATATCATAATAATCATAGTCTCAGAGTGCCTGTCAATAAAATATAGTAAATTTCATTTCAAACAATCATATAGTAATCAAATATAAAAGAACTATCACTACTACATATATTTTTTTACAAAGAGATGTAATTTAAAAATAACCTACATCGTCGGGGATAGTGCAAAACCGCGTAACTACCATTGGATAATTCTGCGTATCTTTATTTTGAGACTTTTAATTATTTTTTTCACAATAGGCAATAAATTAAACACTAAATAATTACTAATTGTGAAAAAAATACCTTAAAAGTCGTTAATTTAGAAAATATTTCAACTCAAACTTTCTACTGATAATTTTCTTAAAATACAGATACGCAGAATTATCCAATGGTAGTTTCGCAATTTTGCCCTATCCCCTATGATATGTAAGATTAGTAATAATGAAAATACTTAGATTTTATTTTTAGGTATACATATATATAGATATGAGTACGTATAAATAAAATTATCTAACAAAGTTATTTAATACTATTCCACAATACAACGAAGTTTGCCTTTTGTTTTGTAAATTATGACTTCCTGAAATCGCTTTGCCTTTGTCTTTAATTGTCTTATCCAAAGATAGCCTTTGTGGAAATCTGCCACGCGTGAACTTGATCACGTTTACAAAATACTAAGATTCTTTGCTATCAAATATCATATCTACTCAAAAAGTATCATATTTCAATTTCAGTGAATAATTGTATTCACCTGCAACATTACTGATAATATACATTGTATGAAAATGTGTTCAAATGACGTTTGTTAAAAGCGAGAAAACTTTCCATATTTGTTTGAAGAAATAAATTCCATTTTTATTTCAAGAAAAAACCAAGATAATGCTTGGTGCAAAAATATTTTTATGAAAGACATAGCTAACGATTCTATCCAATATAACTTCTGCCCTTCCTACTAATATTATAAATGTATATAATCTTTTAAGAATAAATACATAAAAATACGTATGGATGTTTATTACTTTTTCGCTCAAAAACTATACCTTTAATTATTATTTCACTATGACTTATATTTAAGAGGTAGTGTAACTACACTCGGGAACTCCCGAGGGAATATTTTGTAATAGTATTTAAAGACCAAAGGTGGCTCTAACAGTTGGTTAACACATGTATATATTTTATTTAAAAATTTATAATTTTAATAGCCCTCCGATCCCAATTCGAAATTTCACGTAGACTAAAGTTAGGATTTTAATAAGATAATCTGCAATATTTCTTTCAAAAATCCACATTTATTTGTCACTATAAATTCGTAAAAATTTTCGACGGAATCAATGTAGTGCATAGAGGTGACATCAAATATAACATTACACTTTCGAAGTCAAAATTTACTAAACGATTAATTAAAGGAAATAACATTAAATTAAGCGAACCCTTAATTAAAAAGAGCTCTATTAATTTACCACAGTGAATAATAGAATAAATGCAACTTCACACACGATACCTCTATTGCCGATCATGATGTCAACATGATAATTAAACGAGGTTAAAAGTTTTTCTAAGAACAAACATAAAAAACAAAGGTTGTTTAGAAAATATGAAAAATACCATTCTAATTTAAAACTTGTATTATTAGTAACTTTAAAAAATAGTCAACTAATAAGAAATAGGTTTCAAAAATATTTGCTAGCTCTTAATTTTTATTAAAAAGATAATTATATGTTAGTTGATTTAAACTAAATGTATCTTATATCTTTTACATAATATTCTAGTATTATAATGTATTAATTGTACAAATTATAATGTATTATTTGAATAAAAATGATGAAATTTCTTTAGGTAATAATTGCTGTCAATAGTAAAAATTAAGTGATAATTTTAGATCAATTAGTAATTAAATTACTTATATCATTTATAATACTAACGATTGTTTGGGTAATAGAGTATGATAATAATAATGAAAAACCAGCAGACCTCTAAGACATTATTGCCAAGGTAAACATCTGCGTGATAGATGTAATTGCTTCATACTTTACACACTACTACACTTAACGATACATAGCACTTGACGTACTTCCTGCCCCTTTAAAATACCGAAAAACTATTCAATACTTAAATCTTAAAACAATATTATGTCATATTTCTATTTCATTTACAGATCCAAGATTTAGTTTATTTCTCTAATCTGTTCACACCTTGTATGTAATTAGTGATATTATTCGGATGTTGGGTTAAAGTCAAATAATTATGAAATCATTTACATAGTCCTACTATTTGTCGTCCATTTAATGCTACCTTAAATAAATTTTATAAACAACGAAGCAGATATCATTGTACAAAGTAAGCTCTGATTCTGCATATTTATTAAATAAGTTCTTCCAGCTTATGTTCGGACTCGCGTCCTCGTCTCTCTAGCGTTAAAGACTCCTTTTAATTGTTATCCCAACTATATCCTCTACTTCTAAAACTCTCATCAATCTCTTGTATTCTAGACATTTTAAAATTTGAATGAATATCAACTAAACTGTGAATTTATTACCAAAAAAAAGATACATTAATTTTAAATTGTTTACTGTTTAAAGTCGTGTACTTCTTCTTCTGAAATAATACTCAAGTATTATTGATTTTATATTTTGTAATTTTAAGTGCTCGCTGTTAGAAAATAATTGCCTTAAACTATGTATAACTAAGAAAGCCACAGAAACTGTCATCCATATTAATGTTATGAATCGCAAACTTTGCAAAACTCATGTACGTTCTTATAAACGCCTCTCGTGATGAGCTGTGCTTATAATCACGTCGCTCCAACGGTATAAGAGGAGACCTGTTTGACTTGTCCGTACTTGTATTCCACTTACATGCATACTAAACTGAATAACACTTAAATTTAAAACAAATGTTTAAATCAATTTTAATTGAAGTAGAATTTATACAGGGTGACTGGTGAATTACTATCGATACTTGAGGACGTGATATTTGACGATCATATATGACAAAATAAAAATTAATATAACATAAATATTAATAAACTTCTAAGTTAAGTTAACCAAAAGTTATGTAATTAATTACGCATCGTGTGAACACCCTTCAGATTAGGTATACACACACACACATACACGCGTGCGGCGGCGTCGTGTTGTATCAGCACGCCGCCGCACGCGTCCACACTTGGAACACTTGGAACGTGTCCACACTTTATTTATTTATACGGAAACTTGGTCAAAAATTAAGTACCTATTTTTTTTACATAATTCGAATGAGAATCATGTACCGAGTACTCTCCTCAAATATTGATAGTAATTCACCAGTCACCCTGTATATAATAAAACTAGCTGACCCGGCAGACTTCGTACTGCCTCAATCAAGAAATAAATTGTCTTATTTATTTTTAAGTTTGTAATTAACAAATAAAAAATAGGGGTTGATCGTAGAGGGGTGAAAAATTTATAGTAATATGAGATTTTTTATTGTAAGTCATCAAAAAATAAAAAAAACATTGCCAAAAAATTAAAGTTTTTAATTAACAAATAAAAAATAAGGGTTGATCTCAGAGGGGTGAAAATTTAGGGTTGTATGTATTTTTGTAGGCTGTGTCATAAAAAAATAAAAACAAAAAATTTTGCCTAAAAAATAAAAACAAAAATTTAGGGGTGGACTACCCTTAACATTTAGGGGGATGAAAAATAGATGTTGGCCGATTCTCCCCCCTGGTTAGTATCCTCGATAAGGATCACGAAAATCGGTCGAGCCGTTTCGGAGGAGTTCAAGTTCGAACACCGTGACACGAGAATTTTATATATTAGATTTATCTCGTTCATTACTAAACAAGTTACAGAAATCGCTACCTTAATTGGTAAAGCAAAATGGAAGTAAATATTCCTCATATTACTTCCTATCCAAATAGTTGCAGCTGTAGCTATAGCCATATTGGTGTAATCGGTACAAAATGTTCTACTTTTATGATGGCATAGCCACTTTAGCTAATGAGTTGAAATCGAGAACGAATTAATTGCAAAACCGATGGAATTCACAATGAAATGAATGAATGAGAATAATAATATTTACGATATGGCCAATCTATCTATATATCTATCTATGTATATATATATATATTGAATTACTGTTATTTAGTTTCACTAAAACTCGAGAACAGCAGAACGGATTTATCTTATCTTAGTCTTGAAATGTTCGTGGAGGCTCAGAGAAAGTTTAAAACTGGAAAAAATGGATTC